GGCCGCTTTGGCTGCTGGGAGAGGCACTGATTAGGACCTGGGCCCAGCCCCAAGGCACTCCAACACCCCCAGGAGCCAAGCAGCCATGGCACCGCTCAGCCCCGCAGCCTCGCAAGGGCCACAGCCACCAGAACCCAAGCAAAGCCCCAGCTCTGCTGGGACCCTGCAGCTCCCAGCAAACCCCTTACCCAGCTGAGGCTCCATGGCAGCACACACCCAGTGACTCAAGCACACCAGGCTGAAGGGCCAGGCAGCTCCACTCACAGCACCACCACCCCTGCTCACCAGCTCAGCTCACTTCCAGCCAATTTATCTGATGCCTGCAGGGGCTGGTCAGCAGCTGCTAATTGGCCTGATTGCCCCCGCAGTGGGAGCAGGGGGCTGGGAAGCCGTGGGTCCTTTGCCGAAGCTTTGCTGGGGGAGAGGGAGGAGCACATCCGAGCAGAGGGTTTGGAGAGGAGTGGGAGATGGGGAGAAAGAGGTGATCACCCTGCACACACAGGGGCAGGGTGCTGGGACTGCAGCTTGCTGATGGCACTCTCTGTGGGGTGAAAGGGGAGCCAGGCCACAGTGTGGGGCCGACATGGGGCCTGTTCCCATGGCACTCGTGTGACATGCTGGCTCCCTTCACTCAGGACAACCTCATTAGGATGTGGGGGGCTGCACTGTCAGGGCAGCCTGATAATGGGGAGGGAACAATCCCAAAAACGAGAGGAGGAAAATGGAGAGCTGCTTCATTGGCCAGCGAAGACAAGGAGGAGCTACTCTCCTTCTCAGCAGCACACCCACTTGCCCCTGCTCACCATGTCCCCTCTGTGTCCCCTCTGAGCTGGCTGCTGGCCCAGCGACCACCCCACACCAAGGACAGCAATGTCCCGTGGGCCAGGTGTGAGCTGAGCCCTCAGCCACCCAGGGTCCCCAAGCTGCCTAGGGCGCTTCTGCCTCATGGACGTATCAAGAACAAGTCCTCCTGTGATCCTACGGACACTTCTGCCGCTGTTCCAGCAGGATGGGATATTTGTGCTACTTTTGTTCTGCCTGTGCTCACGGGGCGAGCCCAAGTCGTTCGCCAACCTCTCTGCGGTGCAGGAGCAGTGTCAATATCCCCACCTTAGGGACCGCTGTGTTCCTCCAATGGGTACTACGTCAGTCCCTTCCTCTTTCAATAAGTCACGGGGCTTTCGTACGCATTGTCTGCCAAAGCCGCCGGGAGCCACAAGCCTAAGGGAGGGCTGGGATTATGCGATGGCAGGGCTGGTTCATGGCCCAGCTCAGCAGACACGTTACCACACCAATGTACGCGCAAAGCACTGCCCAGAAAGACCTTCCTCAAGGTCTGTGCCCACCTGCTGAGCCCGTGGGCCGGATCCGGGCAGGGGACAGGTGCCAGCAGGATCCAGGTCTGGAGCAAGGAGCTGGGAGAGGCTCTCAGTGCCTAGGCCCTGCATGTCTGGCACCACAGCAAGGATGAGTGCCTGTCTTCCAGCCATCTCCTCCTCCTGGATCCAGCCAGCACCTCTCCAGCAGCTCCATGATGCCTCCAGCACATCCCTGGGCTGGCAGGGAGGGTCCCAAACTCTCTCCTGCTTCTACCACCACCACCAGCAGCCGTAGGGCTGGGCATCGTGTGGGGTGACAGCCTGTGGGCTGAGGGCCAGGACATCGCCAGGGCTGGTCCAGTGCAGCTGGAAAAGCTGCAGCACCGAGCATCGCACGGCTCCTGTGGAGCACAGCCTCGCAGAAAGCAAATAAACACCAAATCTTTCCCTCTCTTCCCTCCAAAACCAGCTCCCAGATTTGAAGTACATGAATCAGACATCAGCCTAAACACTGAATTATTCATAAACCTCTAATCTTTAGATTTCACTGAATATGCAGAAGTATCGATAAAAAAAAATAATGAGAGAATTGTACTTGCAAATTGCTCTTTATTAAAGGTTTAGCTTGCATGGTTTCTATACGTTCCCTATTAGACCTTGCAAAGCTGCATAGGATTAGAAATCAGAGAGGATAATAATGTACAAAAATAGTTTCAAATGTTGATAACACTGAACAGCGAGAAAAACATCTTATTTGTATAACTGAGCTAAAAATAAAAATGAAGAACACTGCTACAATTGCAATATGCCATCTTGTAGTGCTTAAAACATATGTCGCCGTCTCTGAGCCATATGCTCCCATGTCTTGCCTGCTACAGCGCGCAGGGAAGCTTAGCGATGCACCATCAATCCTCAAAAGCACAAGCACTGGCCAAAACCTCCTACTTGGGCTGATGCCAAACTGATTGCAGCTGAACCGGGAAGGACCAGGAGGATCCTGCCTAGGGACATGGCCCCCAGCCGCCCAAAGGTGCCTATGGATGGACGGTGGTGCTGCGGGGAGGGGGTGATTCCCACTGGGGGGACATCAGGCGGGGCTGCTGCTGAGGGTGCAAACATCGGGCAGGGTGCTGTGCTGGGTGCTGTGCCAGCACCCAGCAGCACACACGCTGCTGCTGTGTCCCTCATGCCGCCTGCTTGCTGGGCAGGACCCGCAGCCGTCACCTCTGCGGCGCGGAGAGGCCCACACGCACCGTCCCGTCACCCCTGGGGGGAGTCATGGTGCCTCCTGGGGCGTCCGACGTGCTGGAGGTGGGGCAGGGCTG